CCCCCCCACGGAAGAAAGACCAAATAAACAAAATTGAAAAGAGGGAAATGATAAATTATAAATTCTAAATTAACGGACCAATCTAGGATGAAAAAATGAAGTAGAATGTGTCACAAGGTAAAATTCAACTATTTGTGCTGACGTACTTGCTGCGTCGTCACTGGTATTATTCACTTCACTAAAAATGTCTTGTGACTCCTCTTCGTCACTGTCGGGTATAATGAAATTCATTTCGCTCTTTTGTTTAACGGAATTTGTTACGATTTTCCTCGTGAATTTTGGCTTTTGGTGGCAAAGTATAGTTCAGCCGCACGAGCTATAGTGTAAGAGGGACTCACTTCACGTCTTACTTAACAGGCCATGGCCCGTAAATCGTGAAATCGGGGCTAGTTTTTACTTACCGGCCCATGGCCTGGCAAATCCCACTTACGGGTTCTAAAACACATCACGAAAACGCCACTTAGCGGGCAGGAATGACAAAAAGACTGTTTTTAAGAACTATATTTTATGAAAAACCGTTTTTAAGAACTATATAAGGATTGCCTCAGTATAGTCTATGGAATTCTTGAAAACAAAGTATCGATGAAAATCGCCAATTCATTTTATTAATTCCGAACGATAAATTCAGTTTATGACCAATTTATGAGCTGCCACCAAGGCTTTCTCCATACAATGAAAAATAAATAGGTCACTTCGGGATTATATTAATCCCATTTCACTACCGAATAAAATTTAAAAAAATGAATTTGGTCTTCTTATTAAACCAATAAAGTAAAAATATTCTCTTTATCCGCAGAAATATTGAATAATCCACCGCTTGTCTTCAAGAATAACAAATCACTCCATTCATGTATCATCAATAAATGAAGTTTTCACTTTATTGTAGTTAAACATTCATAGAGAAGAAAATTTCCTTTCGTTCGAAATATGAAGTAATAGATTAACTCATTTTTACTGCGTAAAATTGTTTTCCGGAAAGAACAGAGTGACTGTGAAAAATTTTGCTTGAAATTTGAAGTACTTCTAGAAAATTTTCATCACATTATAATTCCACTCAAATTTCGGAAGTAAAAATTCAAAATGTTCTGGGAAAATCAATGGAAACTGAAAATTTTATTCAAACAGTAAACCTTAATTATACCAGGGAAATTCGTAGAAATTAGAAAATTCAGGTAAGCGTATTCTTCAATTTGAAATTTCATTTACATCGAATGAATTTTGCCCGCCAATTCCCAATGTTTTGACTCCAAATTAAATTATAAATTATTCTGATTCATTTTAGAAATTCAAAAAGTTAAAAAAGTTATCGCGACTGCGATTATTTCAAGAATTTTTCTTCAATTTTCGCTTGAAATGTCAATTGATCCTGTCTCCAATTCACCAAAGTTCACCGAAGTGTAATCCCCCCACCAATTTTATCCACCCAGAAATATTATTATAAGAAATTAAGTTTAATTACCCGAATGATATACTTCACTGGCTAAACTCACTGACAAACAAATTTCTGTTTATTTTTTTTCAGGAGCTTGAGCTGAGAATAGAAACTCAAAAGCAAACACTGCAGGCCCGCGATGAAAGCATCAAAAAGCTCCTTGAAATGCTCCAGAACAAAGGAATGGGTGAGATAATATATTTTTTCCATACTTTTTACTTCTCTCGGTGCTCCGGGACAATAACATAAAGCATACCGTAAGAATATATTTCCATGGAGAATTGATCGAAGAGGTCATTTGGAGTGGAATTATCACGAGTTCTAGTCACTGGGGATCTTTGATGTACGAGGGGTGACTTATTTATCACACATACCATCATTGATTTATGGAACAAGGGTGAAGGTCACGAGCATGCATGTCTGGAAATAGAAAACATTCATTGGGTCGTTATCGTCGAGTTGTATTTTCGTGGCGAAGGGGTGAAATAAGTCACGTCCGATACAACAGTTCCGGTAATTTCATGATTACTTAGAGAATGATTGATGTCTGGGGAAACTGTCGAATATTTTGTTTTGTGAAGAGGACATTTTTTGTATCCACAGAAATGACGCATTTGGATCAAATAGAAATGTTTCTGTCACTCAGTTGGTGAAGTCCCGCAGCACGCACGCTACGTGTGCTAACAAGTCACTCACGAATGTCCCAGGACAGGAAAAACAAAGTTTCGTCAGTGTGTCTAAAAAAGATTTTCTGGCAAATATGCATATGAGGTATTCCATGCCAAACGAGTCAGCGGCCGACGCTCACCCTTTTGAAAATTGATTGATTGGGGGGCTAGAAAAACGATCTCTCAATTTTTTTCAGATTTTTTCGACAGCCCATTTCGGAAATACGATTTTTTCTTTGTTTTTTCGTTTTTTTCTCTAATAACTCGGGTTCTATTCAGCCGGTTGTTATTTAGAACGGTTCAAAAATTTCCATTTTCTATTATTTATAAGAAAATTTTGGGTAATTTTGTATTCAATCCGTAGGTTCTCATGATCCCGAATTTTCAAAAAAAAAATTGAAAAACTTGTGAACATATTCCCTCCTTCACTGGGCCATTATGCGGTCAATATCAGCAATATTCGCATATTAAGGGCGAAAAAACAGCAAAAAAACCCTTCATTTTTCCAATCGCCAACGTTTCGAGAACTAAAAGTGCTCCTCATCAGGGCGTTATTTTATTGCACATTTCTCATGCTATAAGTTGTTAAAGCATTATGTTGAATCAGAGTCGTATGGAACACGAACCTCAAAAATGACACGAACCATTTAAAATGTAAACCACTCAACGATTATTCAAGTTACTTTTTTAACGTATATCCTTCAAAACTAATAAAAAGATCAATGAATAAAAAAAAAGCAAGTCAAAATGCATAATGGCCCAGTGCAGGGCAGAATATGTTAAGAATAACTTCAGCGGTTGGAATTCATCTAATTTCAAAAACTTGAATTTTCAAAATTGTTACCTTTCATTTTTCTTATCTTTTTTCAGTAACTCTTTTAATCAAAACAACTATTTTGGGCTGTCATACAAGTTGGGTTCCGTACTGGATCTATTTTATTTTTAATTTTTTCTTCTCGAAATAATGCGTATTTCGTCAAAACACTCCAAAGCTACTTTGATTATGTATCACAAAAATTGGTAATATATAAGTATAGATTGAAATTTACTTTACTCCCCTTTTATCATCAAAGTCAATCAACGCCCTTTTGGGGGATTTTGACTAAATTCGTGGAATTTCGATAAGAAAAAATTGAAAATAAAATAGATCTAGGGCGAAACCCAACTTGTATCACGGCTCAAAATACTTGTTTTGATCACAAGAGTTATTGAAAAAAAAACCGAGAAGAATAAAACGTGATATAACTTGAAAAATTCAAGTTTTTCAACGTTTTTTTTTTTGAAAATTCGATATTATGAGCACCTACGGGTTGAAACAAAAATTATTCAAAATATTTTTATACATGGTAGAAAATCGATAATTTTGACGTGTCAAAAATCAAAACCGGATGAATGGAACTGGAGTTATTGAAAAAAACGAAAAAGCAAAGAACAAATCATATCTCCGAAATGGGCGGATTAAACAATCTGAAAAAAAATTTATAAATATTATATTCATGACCCATAGAATGAGTTGGGAGGAAAATTTGGTCAATTTGAAAGCAGTGTATGTCCCCTTTTTCGGTAATTATGCGATAAACTAGGGACCGACTGACGTTAAACGAACATGTTGAATTAATGTGTTTGGAGAAGAGGATATTAATCACGCAAAAACATCGTTGATCAGTTCTTTTGGGGTAATTCATTGTCATGATGATTCAACGAAAAAAGGAATCTGACATCACATTTTTTGTTAACCACGTAATTATCTTGGAAATGAGGTAATTTGGAGGGAAAAAGCTCTAGAGATTGTTTCCGCAGAAAAACAAGATTTCTCCAAACCGAATCCTACGATAAACTCCCGTAACATTTGTCATTAACAAGGTAGCAAAAAATTTGCTTGTGTTCGGCTTATCGATGAGTTCATCGTGTACGTGTGTTTATGATACGTTGACCGATAAGCGACGGAAAGGCGAGTGTTTGATTGAATAAGGGCAGTCGAAAATTTAACAATAAGGAATAACAGTATAATTCAGTAGCGAAGTGGTAAAGCGGTTTAAGTCGATGTTGACAATTGGCCAGTTTTTAGTGAAGATCTCGGAATCTAAGGGAGATAGCTAAATTTTTGTTCAGGCCTTGTTAGAAACGCAACTAAAATTCCAGAACATTCAACTCGAGCACCATCGGGAACCTTCGGTTGAGCGGTCAGACGATCGTGAAAACCCCCAAATTTAGTCTTACATCGCACCTCACCGACCCGGGTAGAAATTCAACCGGGGATTGAGCTGCAACTCGGGTGAGCGCGAGCTCAGCCTCAGCTTGCCGCTTGACCCGAGTTCACGCCGCGACACGCCGCTCCATACCGGCTCACAGTCGAACGCTCATCAGACGGCATAACCCGGCACTTGAGTTTGAGCTGTGGCTCAACGCTTAGAACTCAGCTCCGATTGAGTCGTGTCGTTTCGAGTGGAGGGTGGAATAGAATGATATTTATGCATTTTTAGAATATCGATTTAAAATTTGAATACTTTGGAAAATCCTTGTCTTCTTACTATAAAAAAAAAATGCAATTCCACTGAACTTTCTATAAAATTTGAAATTTACTGATTTTTCCCTCTGTCATCGAATATAAAACCTGGCACTTTCTCTAAGAATTCCTATTGAATTTCTATTGGAGCTCTATGAGAATTCTATTCAAGTTTTATTGCAATTCTATTGAAAAATTCTATTTTTTTTGTGCGTCAATGCCATTGAAAATTATGAAACTTTCCCCTACATTTTTAATAGATACTTGTTTGTAGAAAAAAATCCATTGATTTTTCTAGATAATTTATTCTGTTAGGATTTCTTCCACAGAAACTACTGGGCATGAATTTTCCAAGTTTTGTTCCTGCATTTGATTAAAAGAAAAGAAGAAAAACCGAGCGGAAAAAACTTAGAAATCTTATGCCTAAGAAAATCTATAGGAACATAAAAACCTATTTACTTTCTTGCACCAAATTTTACCTTAACAAAAAGACTCTATGAAGTTGCATAATCTCCTATAGAATCGGCGCAAGAAACGAATAGAATTCTAATAGAACTTCCAGAGAATTCTCATAGAATTCCAATAGAAATTTAATAGAAAGCGCTAGGTTTTTCTGTTGAATTTTTTCATGTTATTTTGGCATACTTACCTGTATTCAACATTTCCCTAATAAATCGTAGAATATTCTTAGAACTCGTAGGCCTATCGAAAAATGAAGAATATCCTCTCCTGTAGCGTTGATAATTAATAATAAAGGTTCGTTAACGTTTTTCAAGTGATTATTTTTCTTGATTTTGTTTGTTGTATTCGCGAGAAAAAAGAAAGTTTTGACTACGTTTCAGTGAATTGTTCTACCTTGTATTTTCAGATTAATCCCATTCGATTAGTTAATATCACGTTATTTCTGATGAGCTTGTGATTGTTCATCTGAAAAAGCATGCCATCTTCACATTTATTCGATTGTTTTTTCGCTCAAATCACGATGCCATCGGACCTGTCAAATCATTATTGAGGTTAAGTATACTGGGATTGAGTAATTGGAGATGAACCTGAGGTTGAGCAGTGGCCATTCAACTAAAGCCCGGTGAAGCGTTTCGCGTAATAGTCTAACGCTGGGCTGTGAGCGCGTGACGCGGCTCAACCTCGGGTACATGTGACGCGCGTGGAGTTTACCCCAAGCTGGGGCGGAGTGGCGTATTTCTAGCTGGGATACGGGTTCCGAGGCGAGCTCGAGCGGCGTGATTTCTACCCGGGGAGCACAGTAGCATTTTGAACCTCACCTAGCTCACTAGTAGCCAAGTACATCACCAAGTCTTTGTACACTGAGAGAAAAATATAATTCTTCTGACTATATTCCATCACCATCGAATTATAGTCAAAAAGTCCTCAACAATTTTTCATGGGTTACGGTAACTATAGCCGAAGAAGTAATTACTGCAAAGGAATTTAGTCATTGCAACTATTTTATAGTTCTCCTCACGATAGATTTGTCGTGGTTACTTTTGAACTTTGGTTAGTTTAACTGCATTTTGAGTTGCAAAAATTACGCTTGTGAAGTTACTATAATGATATGTGCCACATGCAAAAAAAAATCGTATCGTTCACCAAAATGCCTCCACTATTTTCTTATTGTAAATCGAACTTCACATTTTTCTCTCAGTGTAAAATCAACGTGTTGTTCGTATAGTAGATCACCAGTGCTTGTAAGATCAACGTGTCGTTCAGTACATCACCACATTAATCAGTTAAAATTCAATTATTATCAGTGACTCAACTTGATTAATATTGCAGACAATTAACAGTGAATTTGAGACTACGAACAGTGACAATTTATAGCAAAGAGTGTACATAATTTATTAACGTCGTGGTTCGATCCCACGAATAAACGGGGATTTTTTATAATCAGTGTCGCAANCTCAACTTGATTAATATGGCAGACAATTAACAGTAAATTTGAGACTACGAACAGTGACAATTTATAGCAAAGAGTGTACATAATTTATTAACGTCGTG